AGAGGAGAGGAGAGGAGAGGAGAGGAGAGGAGAGGAGAGGAGAGGAGAGGAGAGGAGAGGAGAGGAGAGGAGAGGAGAGGAGAGGAGAGGAGAGGAGCGTTCAGCATCCTTATTGAGCAACACAGATGTCAAGGGTGATGAGGAAGGGTACAATGCCTATATGGAAATGCATGCTCATTTCTTAAATCATTATAGGAAGTCTTTGGTCAGAAGGAAACCAGAAAATCCTGCTAAGTCTTTTCCATTAAGTCGATCAGCTGCTATCTGAATTATAGTAGCCCAAACTGATGAATGACACATGACAAATATTGGTGTGTCTAGCTCTTTTTTGGTTTTCAAATATGTCTACCCTCTGTTGGAGAGTCAGCACGTGTTGTCACAGGTCACTCGCCTAATTTTAACCACTAATGGAGTTTGCTTATCCTGGGATGCAGATTCAGGCCAGAAATAGGAAGCCAAGTGATGGTCATGTGTCTGACAAGAAGCTGGGCAGTGGGCCAAAACACATTTGAGCTGGATGGAATTTCTTGCCCCTGTGAAAATGCAGTGCTAAATCTTCCTCCCCCACTCGCCTCTTTACACACAAGTGGATCCCTCTAGTACAGTGAACTGTCACCCGAAACTAACAAGGAGGATGTGTCTCCCAGCAATCTGAGCTTCGGTCAAAAGTTCACCACTTGCCAGCCCCCCTATGCCAACTTGGACCAAGATTTCTGGAATGGTTAGAAAAATATTTTAATGTAATTCACCTTGCTATGCTATTTCATTAATAACCTCTAAAAATGCAGAGAGTGCGGCCTTAAAATTCCTTGACATCCTCAGCATATGACTAATAATAATGAAACTTTCTTTCTGTTGGTGGAGCCACTCTGTGAACTCTCTGTTTTCCCTGGAGTTTCATGGAGCCTTTAGCAAATGCAGTACATTTGCCATGTCCATTTTTTACAGCCTAGTAACTGCTGTTCAGCCAGGCTTGCCTGAGCTGGCTCTTTGTCCAGCCCACTACACTGTACTCTCCTTTCTTGCTACCCTGTGCTATTTTTCTCACAAGAATATTTTGTACAGGCGTAATTTGGACGTGCGTGAAATACTCTTTTACACATTAAGTCTTTCCTATTTTCTCTGTTTCTGTTCTGAGTCCAGTCTCTCAATGTCCTCCAAAATATGTCGTCCATGCTAAGCATGGAGTTGTTACCAGCCCGCATCTGTGTGTGCTCCACACTGTGCTGAGTAAAAAGGGCTCAACCCTCAGATGGGGACAGAGCGTGTCTGACATGCCATTATATAACTTGAAACCAAAGTATATAATACTGTCTTTAAAAGTACATTTTACATAGATCCCCATTTCTATATCTTGCTTCAAGCATTTCTTTCTAAAATAGCCTTTTGGGAGTCAGTGGATGAGACTGCTCACTGGGGGTAGGTCCAGGGCTACAGGATTTCTTTCCACATCATATCTGCATTCAGACTTCTGGGATCAGGACTTCATAAACCACCGGATGGTACCTAGAATTAAATTAATTCTAGATTAATTTTTACCCCAGTGGCAAAAGCAAAGCAAAGACTGCTTCATTGCCAACACCTCCCAAATTAGTGACAAAACAGAAATCTTCTCATCATAATTTCTTTAAAACCTGTAGCAAGGCCTGATTATGGCCCATACTGTGTACTCCCCATCAGTCCTCAATAGGTCTGTCTCCACTGCATACCCTAATGGGATCTAATGGGATCCTGTTCCACAGCACCAGTTGACACACAAGTATTTGGAGATGTTATGAGGGATGATCGGAATAGATTCTTTACCCAAACAAAGCCTCTTTTGGACATGGGAGGTTTGCAAAAACGTAGTTCTTCTTTGGATCTGGTGTTTTTCCCACTGTGAGAAGCAGTTGAGATCAAATCAAGATTGCTACCAAAAGCCATGAGAGGTTGTAATCCAAACATATTCTCTCCAATAAGTGTAGCCAGAGGACTAGTTCCCTCAGGGCCATCCCATGCTGTGCCAAACTGCTGAGCCTATTTCATATTGCGGGATCTGTTCATATCACACTTGTACCACACCAGAGGCAAACAGGCAGATTCAGAATAGTGTAGAAAGGGGAAGTCGCTAAAAACTATTTCTATAGCCAGATGACCTTCCACTGTGTTAATTCTATATTATGCCTTTCCTAATGAATCCCATTTTTTTTGTAACTCAGTCCTGTGCCTTCCTCAATTAACAGTTCATTTTTAGATTCAGGTTGTGCCATATGCACTGAGAATTTATTTCCAAGAACTTCACACACTAGCAGATGTAATCTAGCACAGGTGAGGCTGAGCAGAGGAAGAGTTTCCAGAAGTGAAATGGAGACGGAATATTTTTTCCAAAATACTTCCATATTTGCCCAGTAGTTTCCTATTCCTTCAAAAATTTGGCCCAGGAAAAAAAATGGAGCATTCTAACTTCTCTAGAGGTAAACAAAAACTGGGGAAAAAGAAACAAAAATTCATCAAGACAATTTAGTGACATTTTAAAGTCCAGAATATTCATGGACAAATGTAAATATTCCCAGGCCCAGTTGCCTTGGATTTTGTGATAACAAAAAAATTGGATTTTGGGAGAGCACTTTTCATGGCATGGACATTTGATTCAATTTGAAGAAAACAGACAGAGACTAGCTTTCCTCCAAAGTATGGGCAGTTGTTATGCTTGCACCAAACACTGCCCCATGAACATAGGCAGTGCTTTGGGTTTTTTTCTGCATAGGTTTGGCCAAGGTCTCTAGTCATCATTTATAAGCCAGTGGTAGATGGTGCAGGAGCAGCTGCAGTCTGGGGGGGTTGGAAGTGTTCCTTTGCAGAGGCCTTCTTTCCAGGACCTCTAAGAGAAAAAGAAAGACCTGCTTCTGGCATCTTCTGGTTTCAGAGAAACATCATCTACTGGCCTGGCCACACTCTTTATGTTGAGGCAGGTCTTCAACTGAACATTAGGTTTTACCATTTTTTAAGAAAAGCATCCCTTTTCCAGTTTTTAGTGAACGATTTGTTGGTTTCTGACTATCTTCATCTTCAGGCTTTCACTATGGTTACCAGAGAAGGAAAAATAATATTTGTATGTCAATCTATCTATCTATCTATCTATCCATCCATCCATCCATCCATAATGTATAAATGCACGTATGTATGTGCATGTATATAGGTTGGATATTTGGAAGAAATTTTTTATGGAGAGAGTAATCAGACATTGGAATGGGCTGCCCAGGGAGGTGGTGGATTCACCATCCCTTAGTGCCATGGTCTAGTAACCATGGTGGTGTTGTGTCGAGGGTTGGACTTGATGATCTCAGAGGTCTTTTCCAACCCAGTTTTTTCTATGATTCTATATTTGTATACATGTACATGCATACACCTTTTAACCACTTTTACTGTCTCCTTCACAATAAACTGTCCATTTGTGACAGCATGTCAGAATATGCTTATCTGGCATTACATCCCAGATGACTGATACACCAGTGGTGTACTATTCTGAGCAGTCTCAAGCCCCATTTACCCAGAAAAGCTAAATGTACATGTATTTATATGCAAGCTGATTGGTGGAAAATAGTCAATACATATAAATTAATCAATAAAACAGTCTTTTTAAAGAGCTGTGTATATAACAATTTTTTCTGCAGGCTCATTCTTACTGCACTTGCTGTTGGCTCACAGTGCCAATCCTCAATCAATGTGCTTCTGGAAACTTCTGTTCTTCTGAAAACCAAACCTACTCCTGCACTCATCTTCTTTTACCTTCCCTGCCTATAGCAAACTATTTCCTTGGTTTTGGTACTGTTCCTCACTGTGAGTCAGCAAGACTGTGAAGCTGGAAACCTCAGTGCACATGGGAGCAGGCTGTTAGAAGCATTTTTCACACATCAACAAGACCTGCCCTGTGTAGTTTTACATAGCATGGTGTGAAAGAAGGTTATAACAGCCAGCTGGCCATCCACACTGAGAATGCTGCTTATGCAGGGCTGAAATGAGGGTGCAACTTGCCCAGTCCAAACTGGGCCCACAGAAGTGCAGGACTGCTGCTGAAGACGCATGCACAGTGAGGTCTCACCACAAAACTGAAAGAACCAGAGGGTCTTCAGAGGCTTCAGCTGGCTCCAGCAAAAAGGGTGGAAAGGAAGACTCTGGCAGAGAAGGGAGGCATGAGGCAAAAGTTCCTCCCCATCACAGAAGGATCATCACTAGAAAGCAACTACAACAGGGAAAGCCCTGTCAAAACTATCAAATACAATAGAACTAAATGGTGATCAGCTGTAGTCCTTATTGTAATTAAGCCGTGCTAGGGATTTTTAAAGATGCTAATGTTCCCAATACAGGTAGATTTCCAGTCCTCCTTGAAAATAAATTATAAAAACAAAAAAGTGAGAGAAAAATATTAATTCAGTAAAGCTGTGGGAAATTATTGTTTTAGGTTTGGATCAAGTGTTTCTACAAAAGACAACAGCAATCTGGAAACATTATGAGTTCCTAAAGAGGCTGGAAGTGAATCTTGTCCATGAAACTGATGCATATTAGCTTTTAGGCTACCTAGCCCCCATAAGCCTAAGTGCTCTGTCCAGTCCTTGGTTTAGAAGTTCCCCCATCATATCTCTTAGATCTGAAGGTTTGGCTTCTATATATTAGTTGCTCAGCTTTCCCTTTCCATGCTATCCTTCTCAAATTGTCTCTTCTTAGATATTTGATAATTGTGAGAAATTTGTATAATAGGCTAGTACATAGGGAGGGAGGGAGGGAGGTAGTAAATGGATAAATCTTGGTAGGAATAGTCAAGCAGACACATGAACTTCAACTTCCGAAAAATTTGAAGCTCTTCAGTGTGTAAGACATTATATATTTTGTGCATGTTTTCATACATATTTTAAATATTTTTTATTCTTTCTGAAAAGCAAAAGGATTGACTCTTTGTGTTGTCAAATTAACTTGTAACCGACTTACATTTTAGGACAAATGGTGAGTACGGGGAACACAGTTGAAGAAACAAATGTATTGACACAGAGATAATTACCTTTTTACTAAGTCGATGGTGGTAATTTTTTCTGCTTAGTGTTTCATGTATGTGTGAAATCACTACTTCAGCATGTGGTCTCTGAGAAGCAGAAGAAAACGTGGTTCTGGCTAAAGCATATATAACTACTTGAACAAAAACATGCAGTGTCGGGATGTCCTGAATACCCTTTGGAATGTTCATTTTACCTTGTGCCAGCTTTCTCTCACCTACCCAAAAGCTGCGAGGCAGCATAACCAATTTAGGAGATTAACACTGATACAATTCACGGAGTGCGAATCATCTTGCTTTTCTCAAATAAGAGAAGGCATGAGAGACACGAGGCAGTTGCAGGGCAAAAGAGAACATAGGAACAAAGGAACAAGGAGGTTGAAAGACATCTTTTCCAGTACTGGCTTCAAACAGTGTAACAGCCCTTGCAGGTCAGTGGAGTGTGGCACCTGGTGTGTTTTGCTGAATAATAAATGTTGTTCACCACTGTGAGAACTAACTAGCTTACCTGGGAAAGAGCACAACACTCATTAATCTGTGTGTGGTTTCCCCTGGAGCATGGCAGCAAGCTGTGCTCCATATGGGCAGAGGCAGGAGTAGCGTCCCATGCTGAGGGAATGTGAGGACTGTGGAGTTTGCTTGGTGTTGGAAGGCGAGAGACTAAAATATGGTTTGGCACATGCTGGCTGGAAAGGCACATTGAAAAACAAGCTCCTGTCTCTGGGTGTGCAGGAGGCTGGGACAAAGCACAGAGCATGTGAGAGAAAAAAGAGCTGTAAGGGGTTCCTGAGTATCCTGCTCTTCCTCTGGAGCTGATGGCAGGCTTCCTCCAATAGCTTTTTCTTGCCTGTTTCTGATTTTCCTGGAAATCACCCTTAGCCCCTGCTTCAGCTGCCTGTCAAGCAACTACCAGCCTGCCCCAGGAAGGTGCACAAGGGCTCCAAGAGGCAACAGCATCCTTGCACAGCAAAACAATAAAACCAGATTGGAAGTAAAGGAGCAAATCAGAACAAGAGACACACAGACTGGTAAAATTGTCCCTATGACCAGCAATAATATAACAAAAATTAATGCCAGTTTATTTAATGCAGCAGTTGCATTACATCAACAGACAGGGACACAGACATAGCTTTGAGCTGCTTTCCCATTACACTCTGCATTTCGCCAGCTCTTCAGCTTTCATGCTGTCCTCTACAATAAACTGTCCTCCCATGTGACCAGTGAACTGTCTATGAGTTAAAAATCAATTTCTGAAAAATGTCATTCAAAATGTTTGCCAAATTCTGAGCCTAAATGAAGCCCTCTCTATTCATTTCTTGTGAAGCAGCAAGTATGTGCCACCCGATGTGCTTGGCTCTTACCAGCTATATCCAGAACCTCAACAAAAACTTAAAGGCAATTTTTGAATTTTTCCTCAATTTGGTTATCTTTCTGAATTAAAAGTTGCTTCTGTTACCTTGATATAAAAACTGAACCTGCATTTCATAAAACTTGATATGTTAGGATAGTATCTCTATCAATTTAACTCAGTAGACCAGAAGATCTTTAATGCACACACGCCTTCTTTAAAGAAGAGAGCATCACATCAGAGGTATGAAAATGACTTACTTTCCCTAAATTCATGCCTCTTCCCTCCTGTGCAAACTCACTGACTGATTCATATGTACATGTAAAACTTTGCAGTTCAGGGTAGTGCCCACCTCAGCATGAGAAGAGATTCTTCTTTAAAAAGTACAACCATCATGTGTAAAGACTCCAGCACATGATCCCTGGTATGCATGTAATGATTTGCCTCAGAGGGTGTGCTTATTGCATGGGATTTAATTTAATTTGTCCTCATTCTAATAATTTTGTGTACAAGCAAGGGAATGGGGCACAGATTACATGTGTCCTCAATGGAGTTTGGGGCACTGTTATTTATTACAAATAATTCATCTGGATACTAATTTCTTATCTTTCCATAAAAGAGGTAAATCTATACAGATACTTATATGAAACTAAGTCAGAATTTCCATCTAGACTACAATATGAATATGTATGCACTGGTTTCTGGTGGACTGGGCTACAATACATAGGTATTATTATGAAAATCAAGTGACATTTTCCTTTCTCCCCTTCTACTTCACACAGTGCATACTACAGTGTCAGCACCTTCCTTCATTCTTTTGTTACCATCTTCCTCTCTCTTTCTTGTTTGTTTTTGCAACCTCATTTATAAAGGTAGAGTTGGCTTTTGCAGCCATAAAGACTAAGTTCTCTATTAGGTATAGCCATTAAAAAAAAAAAGGTAAATGTGGGCTCTGTTCAGTTTCAGAAAGTCAGAATATATTTTCGGCCCTGAATTCACACCTATTCAACCCAGGAACTACATTATTTGGGGCAATTCCAGACAATGAGAACACAGTTCCCTGTAGCATGGCTCCACTTCCAGTATTTTGCTATGAATTTTCTTTTTACATTGTTTTTCAATTTTGTAACTTAAAATATACTCTGTCACCATTTTCTAATAACATTTTCTCAAGGCTTAGCCAAATACACAATGAATAAAACAGAAGTAAACCAGTGAACTCCTCCCGCTATGATTTAATATTGCCCACTCTGAGCAATTAAAGTTTCCACTTGAGGAAGACTTAATCATAGAAGTCTTTCTTTTCCTCATCCCAGCTTCATATTGTCAGTATTATACTAAAATCTGTACAGACAAAACCCCATATATCTTACCTGTCTGTACTCTGCTGAAAACCTGATCATCTTCTTGTTTCCTTACATCGAGCCACTTACTCTCTCAAGCTGCAGTCTTCCTCTGCCATCTACCTCCCTCCGTCTGAAGTATTATCTACAAAAGTGGAAAGAAAGATGCTTCTAAAATTAAAACATTTATGGGAATTAAAGCCTTCGTATAAAACAACCTTTTTTTTTCCAAAAAAAATATGCAAAGGTATGACTGGGCAATCAAAATCACTGAGACTTGACATTGCAGAGGATTTATATCACAATTACATCAAGAGTTTAGTGTCTGTATTAATAGGGTTGGTGCTTAAGAAACTTCAACAGAGAGTAGACACAGTCTGTTTCTACTTTTGCATCATAACAATAAAAAAAGTAAAATAAAACATAAAAAGAACCCTATTTTGTGCATGGTGGTGATTGTTAAGAAACATTTTCTCTGAAATTACCTTTCTGCCCTGAGCACAGAGAAAATATGTATTGTATATATTGTATACAAATAAAAACAATATCTGCAGAGTATCTTTGTGAATGCGTCTCAGAACAAGCCAGGTTCACCTTCTGGTGGCTCAGTCCTGAGTGGGGGAAAGAGGCGCCTAGTCATGCAGCTCAGATCTGAATGTGCCACAATACCTGCACCAGAAAAGCTGCTACCTCTGCCTCTGTTGGCAAAATTGAGACTGTTCCTATGCCAATTCTGGAAAAAAACTTCCATGAGTTTTCACATTGCAAAATCAAGCCCTAAATTCAATGCATTCAGTGTGTTCTCAAACATGTGAATGTGTGTGAATATATTCCCTCATGACAGCTCTAGATTTCTCTTCCAGCCCTGCATAATGATCTCTTCATCTGCCGCAATCAGTAGAGGAGAGACAGGTGATGCTTCTGGCCCATTAGGGTTGGGCAGGACGGGTGAGTGACACACGCCAGATGCTGCACCCTGAGCTGGGCAGCAACTCCCCTGTAAATACATCACGGAGTAAAAATCACCACGTACATTCCAGCTGCTGCAGAGCATGTCACTGGAGTAGACATGCGGTCACATGTACAAATGCACACCAAATAGTATCCGTACGTGTGATTAATTAGCAGCTAACAGTGAATTCTTTGAGCCACAGGGGAAAAAAAAGGAAAAGAGAAAAAGAAAATCACACCCTTAAAAGAAAAATTAAAACTAACTATACAAGGTCTCTGAGGCTGAAAAACAAAGTAAAACTGCGTTCTTCAGGACAGTGAAGGAGACAATAAAGTTAGTGATATGTGTCCCCCAAATTTTACTTTATTTTTTACTATATTTGTAATACTGGTTTTTATCGTTAATGTCAGTTAATTCAGTGCCCGTGGAAACTACCAAGCCGGCAGCTCTTGAGCCTAAAGTCTTCTATATCAATACAGACCCAGAGGTGTACCTCAAAAACATCCCTGAGAACACCATGGTAACAGTTACCAAGCCCCCCAAGAAACAAAAAGCTTTTAGGGATATGGAGCACAAAGACTGACAGGATAAGAAGGAGGAACAGCATTATCTCTTAATTCATTTCAGCTGAATTTGACCCATGTAAAGCCATAAGCAGTGCGTTCGACGGAAAGTTAACTATGTGTTGAGTCCTACAGGCAGTTTGAAACATTGGAGAGTAAAGTAGAGAGCAGGAATAGGAAGACTGTTAAAACTGATTTTATCATCTCAGAGAAGAGGCACTGCACAATACAAGTGATGCAGACAGGAAATGGAAAAAAATTGCAAGAAATGAGTCAACAAAAAATCTTTAGTATTTAGGAATATGAATACTGCCCATATGAGTATAGTATGAGAACACAGTATAGGAACAGTCATATTAGTTAGTTTGTGAACTGTACAAGATGTTCATCAGTAATTTGAGAGTTGATATAATATCACACTAATAAATTTAGCAGGTAGCAGATTAGCATGAAGACTGGTGAGTAAAGCAAGAAATGGGACATTCAGAAATACCTGAGCCCATTGCTAACTCTCTTGGCATTCTCAAGAAGAAACAACACATAAATGGAGCTGTTTGAAGAGTTGCACTTCTAGGACCAAAAAAGTCAGGTGATGGAAAAGGTTCTGTAAAGTATGACTCTACAAGGCGTCATGAGCAGATGCCGTAGGCTCACATGAGACCACCACAGCTTTCAGCCTAGTTACTTGCAATCTCAGTCAGCTATGTAAGAACTAGAAGAAATGCCAGAAACTGCCCAGTACCATCAGTTCCATACCACCAAGTAATCCATGTTTTTTGCATACTTTTAGAAGGAAAACTGAAAATACTCTGGTGATCACAGCGGGAGAACACATCAGCATGACAGATCTTTGAAACTGATGTGGCAAAAAAACCACAACAGCCAGAAGCATCAGTTGCTAAGAAGGTATTTTACTTTGTGTATGCCTTCAGCAAAAGAAATGTTAGATAATATCAAGTTCTTGTGTCAATATTTTTAAAACAATGTTGAAAAATTGCAAATGAAAAAGGTACACAAACTATGTGAAGAATTGCTGTAGAAAGTTAAGGAGCTGCATCTATTTTGGCAGGGAAAAAATTATATTATTATATGGAATAAAATAAGTTTCATAACAGAAAATATTACATATGAAAGGACTGTTTAGATAAGTGAAGTAAGGCATTATTTCAACCAGCAGCTTGAAGCTGAAGCCAGCCCAACTCAAGCTAGAAGTGAGAAACACTGAAGGCTGCTAAGCAGACTGACAAATGGCTGCAGCAAGGAAGTGGGATCATCCATCCATCTCATGATATCTTCTAGTTGAGAAAGCATGCCTTTCTGGAAACAGTGAAAGTCTCCCTGAGCTTCTAAAATAGCATGTTATGAACAGCAAAAATTATATATGTGGTAAGATTGAAAAAACGGAAAGGTCCATTCTGGATGTTGATGTTAAATATTTAATCTTTTCATTGAATGTGATGTTTGATGCTCAAACGTTTGCACACTGGGGGCTGGCAGACTAGCACTGGATGTAGGATTTCCAGGGAAGGTGAACAACAAATGTGGTCAGTGCTATCACGTTACCATGACTTTTTTGTTCTAGTCTTTCTGAATGTTGATGTTTTGTTTGATGATCTGTTTGCTTGTCAGGTGAGCCATTCACAATAATACACAACTCTTCTTTCGTGAAAAGTTCCAGATTAGTTAGATGATAACACTGACTTGCTTTATAGAAATATTTTCTGAGGCAGGTTGTAATTTTCTACATCTTGCTGTTTATCAGAGCCCATCATTCTGTATTCCTAAAAACAAGATTTTCTTTTCATATTACTGCTGTGAAACATTTACCAGTGTATGGCCATTGGAGTAGGCCCATGACAGTGTTTTAATGGTACACAGCCAATTCTCAACCCATGTCCTTCCTAAAGATGTGCTTTCCTTTATTGCTGTCATAATTTTCTCTCTGAGGTAACTCAGCTGTTTCTTTCCAAGGCTTTGTATTTCCTTATGTCACTCAACCCACCCAAAATTCTGTAGTTAGGACCAAGGAAAACTATTTTTATATAATTGCAAATATGCAGTGAGATCATTAGTGAATATAGTTTCTGACCCTTGGTTTCCAGGATAATTTCCTATACCAGGACTGATTTCACAGAGTGCACAGAGGAGGCAAAACAATGTCAGCGCTTTCGCATGAATGTGTGTATTGCTCTGCCTTAAGACACTAAAGTTTACTCGTGTCTTACACCGGACAGTTTTACAGTCAAATAACTATCTATAAAAGAAACAGAATTCATACCAAGCCACATTAGCCCCGATTCCCCTAACACATACTTGAACGTGTGGTAAAATCCCTAAATTCAGCCCTCAATGAGAAATTCTCCAGGAAACACAAGCTAGACCATCTGCCTCAATGCAGCACTCGGTCTCACATGTTGCTGTTACTCTTTGGGTTTTTCTACAGAAGATGTAAATGTTCAGCCTTGGCAAATGTCAGGTCCTACCTTTGCTATTACACAGAGTCGTTGGTGCAGGGCTTGTACAAGGCATGCTGTGTCTTTGGAGTATGTGTCCATTGGACTCAGCCTCTGAGAAATGGGCTGGTTTTGGTACCTCGCCCAGCATGCTGCTTACCTTTAAAATAAGCACAGATCTGTGTGGGCTGGGAAAGCTCCCTACCTCTCACAAGCAGGGACACAGAGAAGAAGTGAGATCTCATTGTCCCAGGTAAGATGTCTTAGTCTCTCACTGTGAGGAGCGGAGGGGCATTCTTTAGCTGACTGCCTTAATTTGGACACCAGCCACAGAGTGAGTCCTTCCCTGTGTCGTGACTATTTGCTTACTACTCAGGAGAAATAAAATTATAGACTATAAGATACATTTCTTATTTTAAGGCTTAATGCCTACAGGTCTTCAACTTGTTTTCTTCTTCTAAAAACACTTACTTGATTCTAGGAAAGAGGGGGGAAAGAGTGGTGCTGAGGCAGAACCCTCAGCCACGGCATTCCAGACTGCGCTGCAATACAAAAAATGAATTTACTGAACCAAAATAGGGAGAAAAAAGTTTGCTTAAATATGAATTTTAAATCTTGTGCATGATGCAGAAAATATTGAAACATGCTCATTGGGCACTGAAACATCATTTTGCTGAAGGGTACGCATTTAGAAAAATTTCTAGCACGTGCAATATAAAAATTACATTTTGGGGAAAACAAAATAGAGTCAATACTTAGTTTTAATTCTGAGGATTTTCTGCTAAAATTAGTTCAAATATTTCCGGGTCTTCAAAATTCAAAGTGTTCATTCTTTTCAGATTTTCCCCCACACTTTTGTAAGCAATCAGCATTTTAAAACCAAGTAATATTCTTTCTATCATGTGTTCTGTATTTTTTCTCTTTATTACAGATTCTTAAAGAAAAAAAGAAACCAACCCGGATCTCTTTTCACTGTAGTTGTGACCCTTACCACGAAGATGAACGTTTCAAAGAGTTGGTATTGACATGAGAACTTAGATCTCTGTTAGAAAGTAATCTAGTTCCTATGCAACTCTGTCAAAAAAATGAGCAGTGAAGATACATTCACCTATTTACAACTTTGCATGTCACACTCGGCAGAAAGCCGGAGAGGAAATCAAGTTTACCTTCACGATAATTTGTTCTTTTGACGTGACTTTACCATCGGCGTTGTTTTAATTTCTATTAAGTGCAAAAGCATCGCCGTTCCCAGGATTTGAAATTATTCAAAAGTTTCTGGGGAGATTCCTCCACGGGAGCAACTGGATTTTCCTCCTTCGATTCATCAGACCTCTCAACTCCTTTGACTTTGGCGGTGGCATTTTCCGGCGGACGCCGGACTTGGTGGGATTTGGAGGGCGTTAGCCCCATCCTTGCATTTCCCGGAGCTCCACTTCTCCCCGGCCAGGAGCGGGGCGCGACGAGGTAGGAGGAACGACGGGGGCATCCTCCCCGAGGGGCGCGGGGCAGCACCCGGCACAGGAGGCACGTGAAAAGAAATTAAATAAATGAAATTAAATGAAACGCAGCGGGAGATGGGTTGACTCGCTGTGCGAGCCCCCACCTCCCGCCGCCCTACACCTCCTCTGCACCCCGCAGCCGTCGCTCGGTCCCTGTGCGGCCGGGGAGGGCATCGCGTGCCGTAGCTCTCCCCGCGCCTCCCGCAGCTCTCCCCGCGCCTCCCGCCCCGCAGCTCCCGGGCAGTCCTGGCTGCAGGAGGGATCTCCCTGGCTTCTCCCGCCTTTGCCACCCGCCAGGCACGGGGCTGAAATTCCCCCGGCGGCCGCGGAGCCCCTCCGGCCCCAGCGCATTTGAGGGAGGGAGCCACGCTGTAGAAAGGGCGGGAGGCAGGGAGAGAGGGCAGGGAGGGGGTGTCAGCTCAGCCCACTGCGGCCTCATCCCCCCTCACTCCTCCCACCAGTGCGTGGTGCCTCTTAACCCCCTGGAACCTCCCTCCCGCGAAGCATTGTCCACTTTGCAGAACACGAGTTGATGACGAAAAAAATTCTTCTCGGCCGCGGCCAGCCATGAGCTGTTTGGATGTTATGTACCAAGTCTACGGTCCTCCCCAGCCCTACTTCGCAGCAGCCTACAGCCCCTATCACCAGGTAAGTGTGGGGGGCAGCAGTGAAGAGGCAGAGGGTGGGAGGGGTGTCATCCGGAGGATGGCCGTCTGGGGCCTCACCAAAAGGAAAAAGGGAAAAGGAGAAGGGGAGGGGAAAGGGGGGCGGGGGGGGGAGGGGGAAGATCTGGGAGCCTGCGATGATGATCGGAGCAGAACCGCATCCCACCTTGGAGCGGGGCTCCGCACGGTACGTACACCGGCGGCAACAGACGGACTACGGGATGTCGGGAGTTTGGGCGCGATTTTAACCCTCAGAGGGATTTTTAGGGGGTTGGTTTGTTCGTTTTCCAATATTTGTTTGTTTGTCTGTTTCTTTTGCCGGGACCGGCTCCATCCGAGCGCGGCGGCTCGGGGCAGCGATGTCCGCGGTGTGTGTAGCCCGTCGGTAGCTGCGAGGCCGGGCTACCCGGGGTATCACTCAGCCCTGCGTGCCGGCATCCCGGCCGCCGCCGCGGGAGCCACTTCGTGCAGAGATTTTATAGCCGCCTCGGAGGGGTGCTTCGGAGTTACGCTCTGGAAGTGGAGGAGGCGACAGTGCCGGGCGGCTGCAGGGTCTCCCCGATTTGTCGACGACGGGAAAAGCCCCGGCAGCGAAGGGGACCAGGGGTTGCGGGATGCTCCCCGTTTCCGGGGCGAGCTCGGTGGCAAGACCCTGTCCTGGCCCCGGCCCCACCGGGCTCCCCGCGGGCGCTCCGTGGGCTGGAGCCACGTCTCGCCGCCGCGCTGCGTGCGGCTCCGCCCGCGCGGGCGGGGGTATCAACTCATCCCCGGGTTTCAATAACAGGATCCTGCCGGCCGCGGGAATGTTTCGGGCAGGCACAGCACGTCTCGCGCGGGGATCCGCTCGCTCCAGGACCCGCACCGTCCCTCGTGTGTCAGGGCTCGTTTCCCCGGGCTGCACCTGTTGCACACCTCTTTCCTTTTACCCCTCTGCGTTTCCAGCTTTTCCCTCGCCCTTACTCCTTCCAGAAATTAATTCCTTTCTCCACTAGCGTAACGAAAAAGGGGATGGATAGAGGAAGCAGCGCCCCAGGCTCGAGGCGGGTGAGAGCCCCCGCCGTGCAGAGTCGGTCCGGGGTCAGCGGCCCAGCTCCCCGCACCCCCGGCATGGCGGACCCTGTGCCGCCTCCATCGCCCGGCAGCGGGACCCAATTCCCGTTACAAATAGCAGATGATGTCTTTCCCCACCTTGCCTTCCCTCCAATTACCCCCTCACCCCCCCGGCACACGGCTTATGACATTATTAAGGGGGATGATCATTACCTCAATGGCCGAACTGGGAGCCAAGTGGAAAGGCGGTCGTCGCGAAGGAGTGACATTATGATATATATCGCACGTCTTGGCCCAAGGCTCTGCCCCATCCCCTCGGTGCTTCCCTCGCCGGCCGCTCCAAGGCTCTGCCCGCATAATCCAAGCCCGGGCTCCACGTCCCAGCGCTTATTGCTAAGAAACTCCCAGCACCTGCAGGCATGCTAACGCGGAGAAAGATGGGAAACATCCACCAAACTTTTCAACGCCCGCTATTTTCCCACTCATCGAAATCCAGTAAAAACAGAATAATCTTGTAGGAAATACCTGGAGCTTCCTACTGGCCAGGGAAATGATGTGCTTTGCCTTGACATGTGTTTGAGTCTTTTTCTTTTTTCCCCTTTCCTTCTCCTCGCCGCTGTGAGTTACGGGACACTCTTCGCAGCAGATTTTGCGAGCCAGGGACCGAGCGGCTCTCGCCTTCCCCCCGCTGCCGTCGCTGCTCCGTGTGTGCCTGGCCGCCGTCCGACCGTGCCCGACGCCTTTTGCAGCCCCTTGGCGGCCGCCGTCCGCTCCGGAGCCATCTGCAAAGCGCCTTCTTATGTCGGGCTTGGTGCGGGGGACCAGGGCGTGTGATCCCCGCCTGGCCGCGCCTGCCCCGCCCGGCGCTTCTTTCTCCATCCCGGCCGGCACCTCTGGGTTTCGGGCCACCTGCCCTGTTTGCAGCCCCTTCGCTGCCTCCCAGGGGCGGGGCAGAATTGCAGTTACGGAGGGCGATGTGGGGGTGTGAGGGGTTACGGTGGGTGTGTGCTGGGGGAACAGCGGGCAGCCGAGGACTAGACTTTTGCATCCTCTCGGAAAGATCGCGGGAGAGGGCTCAGCGCTGCATGCCGGCTGGCACAAGGGGGAGAAGCGTACCTTGATGCACTGCGTGACCGGCTCTGTTTTCTTTCCTTTCCCACAGAAACTCGCCTTTTACTCCAAAATGCAAGAAGCCCCGGAGAGCGGCAGCAGCGCCAGCGCCAGCAGCTCCTTCTCCAGCCACCCCGCGGCCAGCATCAAGGAGGAGGACTGCAGCCCCGAGAAGGAGCGACCCCCCGAGGCCGAGTACATCAGCTCCCGCTGTGTCCTCTTCACCTACTTCCAGGGGGACATCAGCGCCGTGGTGGACGAGCACTTCAGCCGGGCGCTCAGCCAGCCCAGCAGCTTCTCCCTCGGCAGCTCGAAGGCGACGCGGAACGCCGGCTCCTGGCGGGGTGAGCACCGAGCGCGGCGCGGGGAGCGCGGGGGGCGGCGGGGTCCCGCTCCGGGCAGGCACCTCGGACCTCGGCATCCCATCTCCCTCCTTCCTCCCCCCGGCGGCTGGTGCTCGGCGGGCAGCCCCTGGGAGCCACTGTCCTGGGCCGAGAGCTGTCAGCTGCTTGGCCCTTTTAAGGGAAAAGAAATAATAAAGCCCTTCAGTTCATGCCGGACCGCAGTGGGCCAGGGGGAAGCAGCCTGGGAGGTGGAATGGGGAAATGAACTTTCTTTACACTGCAGGCGCTTTACCTGGAAGGGGCTACAGCCCAAACAGTTATAAAGTGACCCCTGCACTGTGACTGTGCATCCTCTGTTGACGCTAGCTTTCAGTTTAGTGTGGTCATAATGATGGGAACAAAGCAAAAAGCAAATGCGGAAACCATCTCATCAGCTTCCCACTCTGAAAAACTGATTGTGTTTGTCCCCATATTTTGCCCTGCATGTATCACCACCCTGATTGCTGCTGGAGGAAGGTCCCTAAACTTCTGAAAACGAAGGCTTCTAGAACTGCCTATGGCTGTGGCCATATGCCGTTAAGGTCAAGGCCAGGGCTTATGCACAGCTGATTTATTCTGGACAGGCCTAGAGGTACCCAGGGCAGAAGGGAATAACCTTCCCCATCCTCTCTCCACTAGAGAGTTAGGGCTGGCACTTCTTTGTGGGCAGTTTTGGTAACTCTCCCTCACAGGGCCACCTGCTCAGCCAAGGCTGGTTTCCCAGCCTCTGTATGAATTGCTGTCGGTAATGTCTAAGAATGAAATAGTTTAAATAATTCATGTGTGAAAGATATTCAATTGATGGCAGGAGAGGAGTGTTTTTGCTCATCATGAACCTCTTCCCCTTCTACTGAGTAATGCCAGGGCTCAGAGCTGACATACTTCCTGGCAAACATGTGTCAGGAGCATGGTTTTATTTATTTCTTTTGGGAACCGTGTGCATTCTCAATTAATCATGCATAACATCTACCTGTACTATTAATAATCACCAGTCCATCTTGCGTGTTGCTTACTGGGCTATGAAAATGTAGGGTCCTTGTCCTTTGCCCTGCCTCCCAAATATCTCCAAAGGTCTACAGAGTGCTTTCCAAACGTGTTGACTGTATACCTAAGAAACAGGCATAAGTCTGGTGTAATAGGTGGACAATTGCCCCCAGAAAATTAAGGAAATTCAAGCTGGCCTTTAGTAAACTCTCACTGTTCCTGACCACCTTGAAACTGCACTGAGGCAGCAGCTGCTTTCCTGGAGGTGTTGGGCATAAATGTTTATATAAGGAGATTATTACAAAAACGAACAAGAAAAGTCCAACCCTGAAAATTTCACTCAGTTTCCACTATGGAAGAAAAGACATGTTTCCCTCACCTTAGATAACAGCCTTTTGCCCACCTACATGCTAAGAGAAACCTGGAGCAAATAGTTGCAGCTTCAGGGATAAACCATAGCCTAGGTGTGTTGGATGTTTAGCTGGAGAGGAATCTGTGTTTGTTTGGACTAAGTTCTTGTGTTTGGTAGTTTTTCAGGGAATAAAGGGAATACAAGGTTTTGTTTGGTTGGATCAGGGAGGGACAGAGACCTAGGGAAAGGTGATCAAGGCTTGCTGGGTGTGCTCATTGCTGATTTTCTCTCCCACTTCCTTCACCCAGATGGCTCCTTCCCAATGAGCCAGCGCATCTTCCCGCCATCCTTCTGGAACAGCACGTACCAGCCCTCCTCAGTTCCAGCCAGCCTGAGCAGCCCCCTGGCAGCTGCTGCCCACAGCGAGCTGCCCTTCGCCACCACCACTGACCCCTACGCACCCGCCTCCCTGCATGGCCACCTGCACCAGGGTGGCCCTGAGCCCTGGCACCATGCCCACCACCACCACCACCACCACCACCACCACCCCTACATTGGGACACAGAGCACTGCCTACCCTCGCCCTGCCACCATGCACGAGGTGTATGGGCCCCACTTTGACCCCCGCTACAGCTCCCTTCTGGTGCCCACCGCCTCCGTCCGCCCTCACCGCCTCACCCCTGCCTCCGTGTCCACTCCAGTCAGTCCCCCTTGTGAACTGGGCAAGAGCGAAGCGGGCGCTGCTGCAGCCTGGACGACACCGGGCCCTTTCCCCAGTGCAGCAGGGGACATGGCACAGAGCATCAGCCTCAATGTTGACACAGGTAACGAGCTGCCCTCGGTGCCTACAAGTTCCCTGAGTCAGCTGCACCCCTGCTCCCTGACTCCACACCATCCATAGTGGTAGGGAAGGACCACCCTGGGGGGTGACTGGGATGCTGCTGTGGGAGAATAAATTGGGAGTGGAGGCCCCATATGCAACACCTGAGTTCTGTCCTGAGTGATCTTCTTGGGGTTTTCAGGCCAGACAAGGGAGGATGGGGAGAGGGAGGATGGGACAGGCCAACACATCACATCCCCAAAACATCATTTGAATTTCTGATGCCTGCAAATATGCCCTGAGGGTACAAGTTGCTTTGAGGTACTCTTGTTTGGGCCCTGGTCCTACTTCTGCATTGAGCAGCAAAAGCTGGGAGCAGGACGAAGCAGCCCTGAAGGTCACTGCTTGGCCCCCTCCACATGCTGCACTGAGGGCAGTAGTGTGGTCAGCCACAGCACAGCAGGTCATTTTTAGACCCCATGCAGGTTCATGAACTATCTCCTCTCCTTATTTACTTTTTCCCTCAAGTGTTTGAAATGAAAGCCCAATTGCATTTGCTGAGCAAAAAGGGCAATGGCATTCCCCTGGTAGTGCCTGGTGGGGTGTCTGGAACCAAGGCTGTGTGACTGTAGCAGTGATAAAATCAGGGACACAGGCAATTAGCAGTGGCAGATCCTGAATCAGTGGTTGTGAAGGCAAGGAAAGCTTGCTCAATGCTGGTTTTATTATCACAGCCCCTAATGGATCCTTTCGGTGTCCTCATTTACAGCAGGAGGGACATGTGCCAGGCTCCAGTCTGGCTTGGGCTCTTCTCCTAGCTTCACAGCCTTCTGGGGCTTTAGACTGATCTCAGCTGGCAGAAATGCATTTTGTTTTCCTTTGTCCTTAAACAGCTGTACCTATTTTTCTTCTTCCCTTTTTTTCTCTTCTCTCCATTCTCAGGTTTGCAGACTCAGGATAAAAGCAAGGATCTGTACTGGTTTTAGAGCTGTCCTTCACTCTTCTTCCCCTGGCTATCCCCTGTAGCTCTCTGCCTGTTAGGCATGGTGGCATTCAGAGCTGAAATCGGGTCAGTTTGTAACAGCTTCTGATCTTGGTTTGCAGCTCGCCGTTACTCCTTCTGTGGTGGATCCCTTCTGAGCTGATGTGCTGACTCAAAGACTCTCAGATTCCCCCCTGCCCTTTTCCAAGCCCACCGTGGCCCCGCAGTTCTGGTAAAGACAACGGGATTTAAAAGGACCTGACATTGCAAGGACGATACTTTAGACTTGTTTCAGAAAGGAAAATCCTTCTGATGCAAGAGGAGAGCCAAAGACATTGAACTTCCATTTAAGCAGACCCCACACCGAGAACTGCAGTCAGACTACTCTAAAAGAGTCAAATGACATCGTGGATGGTGATGCAAAATGACTGGCCTTCATATAAGGAGCAGGGAAAATTGTGGGGGTTCTTTTTTAGTGGTGTGAATATTTTTTTATGGCGGTGAAAGTTACTTCTTGAATGCAAACATGGGAAAGCTACTTAGCAGTTTTGAACTGGATTTTTACTTTACTTACTGGATTTTCCTTTATAGAAAAGTAAAAGGAGAAGAAACTGGAATTCACAAACATTTTCAGACTATCAAGGAACTGGTCAGATTTTTCAGCTTTGTGGTTGTGAGTGGCAAGTGTCTGGCTGGGGCCACCTGCCCTGGGCTTATAGATACGCAGCTGTTCCGCTCACAACTGCTCAAATCCCAGAAAGATGAAAACCAAGGTGGCACTTCTTAGAGTTTGGCACAACATTTGCATTGGATGTATAACAGTTGTTTGGTTGGGGGGGGCCGGGTGGTGTTTGGGGTTTTTGTTTGTTTTTTTTTGTGTTCTGTTTTTGGGTTTTTTTTACAATAAACATTTTCTGGCAAAAGTAAAAACCCCTTAAAGCAGGGGGAGAATGGAATCTGGAGAAGAACGGCTCATCTTCAACCCAACAACCTTTAAGGGGAATACCAGAATGAAAAGCATGTGATGGACAATAGGTCCGAGTTGCCTCTAACACTTCTCTTTGTCCACTTGTTGCTGTCATTTTTTCACTTTAGTAGTTGTTTTGGTTTTTTTGAAAGAGGGAATAAGATAGCTATTTAACAGTAGGAAAGCTATATTCACTCTGTGTACTTTTATGCAGAATTAAGCTAAATAAGAGAAATGCGGCAAACTGGAAAATTCAGGATGAAAAAGAAAAAGGATCTCTCACATGGATGAAGTGAGTTATTTTATTATTTTGTGTTAAAAAGATAAATAGAAATCCTAACAGTTGAAAATATTTTCTTAGGGAGTAAAATATACAGCGATAAATACAAAATACAAAAAATGCGAGACTATTGCAGCGTTACATTTTAGTGGTGTATCTGTAAGATCTGCAAGGGGCTCTCCATAGTAGCAGATATTTCTCCATGAAGCTGCTAGAAGAGGGGACTATACCATTTAGCACTGCTATTGCACTGGTAAATTAAAATGTTATTATCGAGTGATGAATAATTAATTAAACAGGGCAGAAATAGCTATTACCCTATACCTAAAAGCTGATTTTTTTACAGGCAAAACATCTGATTTGAACACTACTGTGTTGTATTTTTTTCTGTTTTTTTTTTTCTCAATGTAATGTCTTCGGAGGCTGACAAGGTTCAAAGCGTATAAGAGGAGAGTCCTAACACTACCCCTCTGACACTAGGAAAAGCAGTAAAAAATGGACTTTTATGCTGTGATGAGAGTTTTTGCCTTCTAACACTCTCACATAAGCTGACATAGTGTTCACTATGTGTCAGAAGTGGAGTTATGAATAACACAAATTTGCCTCTCCTTGGTTTCAGCCTGAGGATAACTCAATTTCTGGGAAAGACTAGGAAGCCTAATAGAAAGAGTATGATAAAGCAGTGTGAGTACATACTGTGAGAAGCTGACAAGGAAGAACGTGTGCAGAGCATCCCTGGCCAGTGCTCCGCAAATGGCAGGAGGGGACTTGTCATGATTTCTTCAGCCAGACATACCCCTGAGCATTTTGTCCTCACCTTCCAAATAGCCAGAGCCCAGAAAAGCTGCAAAGGGGAAGGGAAGGACCCCAGCATTTATATTAGTGGTTAAAGCAAAAACATTCTGAAGTGTCTATCAAGGAAGAAAGCATCAGGACTTTGCAGGAGAAAAGTAACTAAAAATGGTGTTTAACTTTATTGCTGCAGAGGCTTGAAGTTAACAGAATCATTCTGTGAGCATTTGCCTGAGTGTTTTTTCAGGCTGTTTTTAAAGGTTTTTTTTTTACAAAAAGATAAATCTGACTCTATCATTGGTTGTGCTTCACCACAATTGTTTCTTTTTTGTTTCCTTTCCCCCCTCTCTCTTCTGCAATTCTTAATGAGGAGGGCTGAGCAATGCAGCTCCAGTACATTTAGCAATTCTCATGTAAGCATAAACCAGTCGTTTACTACATTAGTATTTACAATACATTTTGACCCTGACCATATTCAAGCATGAAAATTTGTGCAATGAATACATTAATATCGGTTTTGACATTTGTTCTCTGGGTACTCTTTTTTACTATTGTAGCATGAAAGCACCCAAACACCAAAGCCAAGATCGTACCTCAAGGCGTTAGGTGTGCAAACAACTTTTTAAAAATGCTCCTACTCTGGATGGACTGCAGTCTGAAAGCACACATGTCCTGTTTTGGCTAATCCTTGCAGTTTTGCTCATTCTGACTCCTGGAGGACTGCTCACAGCATCTACCTTTAAGGTTTGGACATGAGTCTGCAGGGCTGGAGCCACAGTTCCTAATGCAGTAACAGTGCAAATGACTTCTGTGCCATTTTGGAAGTCTGTTTTATTCCTCTTTGCATCATAGATTGTTACTTTCTTAATCAGGAATGCTTGCAGCAAATCTGGAAATACAAAAGAAACCCTTCTTATACATTACGTATGTATTACATGTCACATACTGAAAGAGCAGGGCTGTGAGTACCCATCCCTGCGGCTTGAAGAGCAGATCCTCCTGCTGCCCTTTCTGAGTGTCATGCAGAGGTTAGCACTGGCTTGTGCTCTGTAACTGCCCACCTGACAAACAGACTAGACCGTCTGGGACAGACACAGATCCCAACCTGTTCATGCAGAATCCAGGGAAGGAGGCAGAAGGACAGGAACTGTTGCAGAGTACAGCAATGCTGGGCATGGCGAGAGTATCTGCTGCTGCTCAGTTGCAAGAGTATCCTCTTTACAAGGAGTTTGCAAAACAAGCTCTGGACATAATTCACCACAGATACTTATTTCTCTTTCTGAAAATAACAGAAAATTAACAAAGCATGAAGGAATACTGTTTTAATGAACACTTTGAAGGGTTAAAAGGGATCTGTCAAGGGAAGAATGGAAGTGGGATAGGACTTTGTATTTGTGTATTTGTGGTTGCACTTTATTTTAGACGTTTTTGCTTCAGTATAGCCACAGTTGCAAGAATGCAGCATAAAACTCTTAAACACACATATGTGCCCCTGTACTTACAGTCTAATGTTGGAGAGTTTTAGGGTGATGTTTCTTACTTCCCATCTCCTCTTCCAGTGTTTTTACCATAGAAGCCCCCAGCAGAGGAGGAGGAGGGGAGGAGACAGAGGGTGAAAGAGAGTCTGAATAATCCCTTGCACCTCCCCCGGACTGTGTGTTGCCCGCCTCTGGGGAAATGTATCTACCCTGTCTCCTCCTTGGGTCAGGAGCTGCCGATCCTTCTTGCTTTCCCTTTGAAGTCCTATTTAGGTTCACGACAAGTTCTAGCTAGGGCTTAAAGGTTGGTCCCTTCTTGGAAGGGAGGAAAATGCTGCTGGTGGCTTTGAATGCATCCGTGTTCTCTAACTGGCAGTCACTGCGTGTCTTTTTCTGCGCAAGTGTTGTAATTAATGTGCCCTTTTGATTACAGAAGGATGAGCCAGCTCCCGTCGGGGATTGTGATATCCTGGCTGTCTTCCTGGGCCTGCCACCCAGAGGAGCAGTTGCAGCAGGGAAAGGAGAGAGACTTATGATTATTTGGAGGAGTGAGGTATTGATTTTGTAGGATAGGTAATTTTGCATAGGGAATTGTGAATAGAGATCACAAAAAAAGAAGAACAAAAAGAAAAAGAAGAAAAAGAAAAAAGTAAACAGAAAAAAAAGAAAAAGGAGAAGAAAAGGAAAAAGAAAAAA